CCATTGCCTGTCTGATGATGAGTTAAGCTCTTCCACAAGCTCTACAGATAAGTCTGATGGAGATTCCAGGGAGAAGTAAGTATTTTGTTTAGTACTGTGTAAGAGTTTTCACTGCTATATTGGACCTTGACTTGGAGTGGAAAAAAAATGGCAGGAATTGCTTTCACACTTTATCTCTGCATAGTGAGTGATTGAAGAAGTATGTGGTGCATAAAGAAAACGAACTCCATTTAATTGTTGTCTCTCTGTGACTATAACTTTCCATTCTGAACTTTCTGGGACATGTGATCGCGTACCTCTGTTTTTTGTCAACTGTAGCTTCCCAGGAAACCAGTCTTCCAGCATCAAAAGACATATACTGTCAGGATGCATTAAAAGCATGAGTTCAAAGGTGCCAATATGCTTCCTTTCCACTGTGAACGAGGCTGTATTTATTTCTGATTTTATCAGTGTAAGCAACTTTTCAAAAAATATGCTCTGTTGCATGACAACAGGTGCAGCTACACAGGTAGCAGTAGCCAATAGGATTGTGAATTGTTGCTAGGCGAATGGGCTCTGAGCCTTTGTTAGATGAAGTACTGCTAATGGTGCTATTGATAAAACTGCACCACAAGAAGTAATTTAACATGGAATACTTAGCAGGACCTCACTAAACTTAGGGAAAGTCCTCTGAATGCAAGGTGGAAGTTGCATCATGAATGGTGACTGAACTGCATCTTATTTCTCCTCTACTAGAAAAAGCAATGTGAATGAGATGAATGACTTGGTGCAGCTAATGACATGGACACTGAAAATGGCCTCTAAGGAGAACTCTGAATACTGTGTAACCTCGACCCCAGCCCCAGAGTTTAAACTTCATAGAAAATATCGAGACACTTTGATTTTGCATGGAAAATCACCTGATGAATCAGAGGAATTAAAATTTGAAGATATTTCTTCAGGTCTGTTGCTCTGTTACTGCTTTAAATGAATGGTTGTCAACTGCTAATAACCAAAGAAAAACCTGCTAGTGGGCAACAGAAGGCAATCCACTCTTATTTCTTCTCAAGTCTCAACAATGCTTACAGAAGTAAACATCTTTCTAAATTTTGTGTGCAAAACTGCTGTAGTTGTGGTTTACTTGCCAATGAAAGGAATGTGTCATTGATCTGTGTAATTATTGAAGAGGGAAAGCTGGTCTGCAATATGATTTTTTTCCCCATGTGACTTATACTTAGAAGCTTCCAAAATGAACAGTCGGAGTTGAGTATTTTGAAATAAGATTTTTTAAGGCATTCAAACGATTTGATAGCTGTAAAGCTTTGTGAATTATGGATAAAGCTAAAATTGTACACAAAGCATTAAAAACAGTGGAGGTTTGTACAAGTATAGAAGTTCATACTCATTGCAGAATTTGGGCAAGCTTATTTTTCCTGTATATACAGGTGCAAGAATCAAATCACTTTTCATATTTAAGGTCTGGTTTAGACCTTAAGTATGTATATGTATTCCAAAAAGCAAGAAAAAATTGTATTTGCTATGATTGCACTTCCTATGCAACAACAACAAGTGAAAATGCTGAGGGTGGGTTTTTGAAGTCTCAAGACCTTCTTGTGCTTATTGTTTTAAATGATGAGGATTCTACTTGTAACTAGCCTGGTGATAGGCAAAGCAATGGGAGAATACTGGATTTTACTCTGGTAAGCTGATTCTGCATAGCTGAAGTAAAATACATTGAAAGATTTTGTCTCTAAACAGGTATGACAGAATGCTGAAGGTACAAATTTCAGTGGTATTTTTTCTTTTGTCCGTTTTTCTCACTCGTAAGTATTGTATAGCGAGATCCTCCAGCTGTTTACTTCCTACCACTTGGGATGACAGGGCTGCTGCATTTCTGAGCTGAAACTTATTTTAATTAGATCAGATACTTTATTTTCGGAAGGTGATCCATGCTATGAAAGGAGTGTTGGTGATTTCAGTGACTGAAAGAGCAAGCTAGTGTTGTCAGTTCAGTTCCTAATGGAGGCCTCCCCTTATTAAATGACTATCTCTTGTTGGCAGCTTCAGCTGAGGAGCAAAAGATTCAAAGGCTGTTGAGACAAACAGGCAGATGGCAGAAATGGTGCTATTAGTGTTTTACAGTGATTAAACTTTTTTCATGTTTGCTGTAAGTACAAGTGATTGAATTATTAAAATATTTGGGGGGTGGTGTAGTATTAGAGAATAGTACTTTTCATTCAAATAATATTTGTCATATAGTATGCAGGAACCACCTGAAACAAAGTTGCAGGGACCTAATTGTGCAAGCTATGTCTGCATCGACTTTGTACTGTCCACTGTTCTAAGAGTTAGCACCTGAGTGCTTCTGATTCACCACGTTTGTTGATCGTTCTAGCTAGTCAGTTCAGATAAACAGTTATTTCATGCAAATGGTCAGCTGGAATTCTGTGGTAATACTTACAATGTCGTCCCATATTCTTCTTCTGCACAGGGTACAAAAATTGACTATATGGAAAGTAATTATTACTGCATCGATCTATTTTATTTTTATTTAATAGGTATGTTATCAGTTCCTGACAGGATTAGGAGAATGGTTGAAATCCTGAGATCTGACGTGGTGCAAGGATTGGGAGTGAAACTCCTTGAGAAGGTGTACAGCATCATGGAAGAAGACGATGAAGTGAAAAGAGAGGTGAATGTCTTTCATGTTAAAATTGTTTAATTTCTTTATAAACCTAGATAAATGAGCAGGGTCTTTACCACTTCCCTCCCCCCCCCCCCCCCTCAAAACCTCGATTCCAAAAAGTGTTTATGTAGTCATTGGCAGGCAAGGGCCTAAGTATATTGTCATTTGCAATCTTAACAAGTTAACAATTCTGAATGTGGACTATGTTCACCACAAATTCTTCAGGAAGTATAGGAGCTTTAGAATTGTATCATGGTCCTGAGTTTGTGGAAGATGTGAGAGATGCGAATAATTTTACTCTGTGGTATTTCTCCAATAACAATTTCTTTTGAACCATAACTTTTTGCCTTCGCATTACTTTGCCTAATGCCCCTTATGTCCAAAGTGAGAAACAGTTTAATGTCTATAGACATTATAGATAGAGGTGAGTGAGCAGTACCTCCAGCTCATTTGATTCAAAACTTGGTAACAAATAAAATACTGATGGGTAAGTATAACCTGTGAAGATCCAATTTATATTTTAAATTGTCGGGTGGGATTTGGAACTCTCTTGCCTTCAGACAACAAAGACTCTTCCGTTTTTCTTCCATCTATGTTGTCAAACTTCACATGCTGCTTTCAGTTGAGTGCTTTGGTATTTTTTTTGTTAATATTTTGGTAGTTCCTGCTTTTTTCAATGATGTCAGTAAATTTTGTGGGGTTTTTTTTGTGTTCTAAATAGCTGCAGTTGCGGGAGCATATGGGAGACAAGTATGCAAGTTACAGTGCGAAGGCACGCCATCTGAAATTTCTTGAAGAAAATGTGAAGTTCTGACCAGAACTTTCTCCTTAAAGCAGAGGACTGTTTTATAGCTCGTTTGATAGATTGGACCAGCTTATAAAGCACGTTTATCCATTGACCTCCTTTGCTGGAATAAGGAGGTGAACTTGCAAAAAATGTTATCGTTTGTAGCAATATTTTTCATGTTAAAATGTGAACCAGGCTATCACTTTCTCAGAAGAGAAACTGTTTAGTTTAATTTTTATTCTCTTAATGAAACTTTAAAAAGTTGCTTTTTATAGATGCAAAGACGGATGGATACCAAGTTTCATATACAAAGGAGTGTCAAAAAATGATGTTTTGATTTGAATGTCATAGCAAAAGTTTTTTTGGGATGGTCATATACTAAATATGGTAATGAAATCTATGCCAAGGCTATGGTGTGATAGGCTATAAGCTATTATATCAAATAGTTGTGAAGACTTAGCAGGCAGAAACAATTACTAATTTTTGTAGCACCAAAAGCCCTCCAGGTTCTGTAAATTGCCAAGCTGAAGTGCTAAAGGGGGTGGTTGTACTGCTTTTAAGCAGAGCCTTTCCTTTTCTGTCTTACTGCTAAGGCAATCACCAAGGTGGTGGAAAGTATTTGGAAACTGGATAAAATAAGTCTGAAAGGAACACAGCCATGGTTACCATGGTCCCAGCTGGAGAAATCCCTTTGCCTTACAAATACTGATTTCTTTTAGGAATGAAAGTGCCCAAGACCAGGGTCACTTAGAGGAAACAGGTGTCTTAGCTTTTCCCTTTCTTTGCCTCTAGATTGTGTTGCCACACATGCCCAGGCATTGTCATATACCATCACTACAGAAAAAGCATGTGTTCTTTTTAAAGGATAAAGCAGTCAAAAGGGAATTGACTTTGTAAAATAAAATTTTAAATGCACAACCTGTCTCTTTTCCTGCCTCTAGCTTAAATATTGTAACCTCCAGCACCTGAGGGAAACTAACATGACAGTCAGTAGTAAAAAAAGTGCAATACCTGTGGATCCTGCTGCCTCTCACATAATAGAAGTTCAAGTTATGAGGTTTCAAGAGCTATTGTATTATGCAGACTCAAGATGTTACTTTCTCTAACCAGGCAAATTTATTTTAAACAAAAAAATGCCACTCTGTAATCTCCTATCCTAGAATACATTCCAATTCTTAGCATTTTTGAGGACTGTGGGGTATGTACTGTTTTGCCATACGTGTTACAACCTGACACTACCGATAGCTTGATTTACACAAGGTTAGAAATATTTAATAGAAGTCCAGCTGTATATTATCTTTTAGGCTATGGCAACAGCTTAAATAGGCTTGATTTGATTTGCTGTGTTCCTTTTTACTAAAATACTTGAGTGAGAGGAGATCTCCAGTAGAGTTCTAAAGTTAATCCCCCCACACCTGCCTTCCCAGTGACTTCACTGGAACTCCAGCCAAAATTTAGAGAGCCTTCATGCTCTCTGCAGATCTTTGTGTACTCATGGTAGTATACAAAGTAGTAAGAAAAAAACCAAACACTGAGCCAAGAAGTATCTCCCAGTGGAAATGCATTTAACAAAATTTAACAAAGTAACAGTATGAAGAGCCACATTTTTTAGCTTTTAGCGTGTCTCTTTGGCTTTCTGTCTGCTGGCTTCTTTTCTTCTGTTCCTGACTCTTGGACAGGTAGCCACTTCAGAGGATTGCGGCGGTACATAGGCCACGGAGGGAGCGTTAGCTTAGAGAAGAGGAATGAAGTCAGAACATGTAAATCAAGATGCTAGATAAGAGAGAGATTATATATAGTCTACACTGTATACTGCATAGTATACAGCTATGGACCCCAGCTCATTGCAAGGAGGAGGACGACAGCACCCACCCTGAAGAAAAAAGGATACCCCTGGACTACTGAGGTAATGCCAGCATCCCAGCCCCTCTAACAAACACCCCTGTGAAACCCTCCCATTATTTGGCATCAAAGATAAGTAATGGATGATGATGATGCTGTAGAATTATAGTGGCTTTTCAAAACAGTAGTATGTGTGTGTTAAGTAGTGATCGGTCATATCACGTTGTATCTGAACGCTTGAAAAGTAGAAGAACCACATGTAAAACCACACTTGGTGCTCCCCAATTGGAACGGGACACCTCACGTGCATGAATAAGGAATTACTCTTGTAATTCTATACTTTGCATCCTAGCCTCTCTCCTCGGTCAGCACGGGCCAGCTGCAAAATTTTCGTGACAAGCTACTACTAGAAAGCCTTACTGTCCTTTCTGTTATTGATGCTATCAGCTTGACTTAAAAGTAACATTTAATTGAAATGAAAAACTAATTCAATGTTATGTAGCAGTATGAAATCCCAGTGTTCTCTAAAATCTTACTAGCATTTGAGAAAAGGCACTTACTGCCTTGTAAAGCACATTCTACAGATCAAAGAAAGTACTAACAATGTATTAACAATCTGAATTACATAGCGAACATTTGTCTGTGCTGACAGCCCCTTAATTTAATGATTATTTCAGGTTAATTAGTGCATGTATTTTCTGGTTTGGGGAAAAAATTCTTACCAAACACGATAAAGCAAATCCAGCCATAACTATATAGACAGTCCATCCAAACTGTTCAGTGATGTATCCATAGATGAAACCAATTATCTGCAAAAAAATAAAAAAATTAAAATCAAACAAAACCATTTCCCATACCATGAATAAGTTGGGGGGCGGGGGGGAGAAGCAGAAAAATAGAGGTTTTTCAAAAGCACAGTTCATACATCTTTCTACCCTTGTTTTCAAAGTTGTAGGCCAATAATGAAAGTAAAAGATTGAAAGAGAAGTCTTAATCCATGACAGCCCCTCTGATTAATCTAAAACTTTTAGTGACCCAGTTAAGCCAAACAATCAGAAAAAAACCCTTGTTTGTAAGATCAGAAAACAAAATAAAGTCATTTATGTTATCACCCATAGCTCTAGCGTACTTACTGCGGAGACAAGAATGATTCCTTGAAAAATATGTTCTGCTAATTTTTGGCCCTTGTAGTCCTGTGGAAAGAGAGATTTTTTGTCAATTACCCAAAACACAAACCTACCAGTTAAACTCTTTCAGGTTAGAGCCTAGAGTCAGTCTGACCACAGGTTCACAGCTTTTTTGTTCAACTTTCAAACCAGACTGGAATTATTTTTCTTACGATGTCTGGATTTCAAGTGTAAAAGAACTAAGCTCTTAATTCACCTAACACCTCCCCCCTCCAGTCTTGACCACATCACCTAAAAATAAAAGCGAGCACTGTCTGCTCAGGATAAGTAACGCAAGTGCAAAATACCATTGTAGTTAGCTTAACACCACTGCGTGAAAGCCGTAACACCACAAAAGAGAGTGTATGCTTGAGAGGATACGATACGTCTATCACCTGTGTTTGCATCGCTTCAGAAAACGCGGCTCCCGATGAAAACGCTTTGCCTTCTGGCTGTATGTAGCACCGACAGAAAAGCATAGAGGGGCTTCCCTTGCGCAGCTGGGCGCTACCTTCATTTTACAGCACGTTAAAGCTCGACTTTTCAGACCAGAACATCGCGGTTACAGGGCGCGCAGCCCCAGCGGCCGCTCCTCACGCGCGGGTGCCCGCACCGCCCGGGGGACGGGGAACCCTACAACCCGCACGCAGCCACGTCGCCAGTAGCGACGAGGGGACGAGGGCCCGGGCGCGGCCGGGCCTCCCGCGGCGGCTGCCCCAACGTCTGC